CAATATTGCATTTCTGATGTTCGTTTCCGTAGATTCCTCCAAAGAACATCTTTGTGTGGTGGCTGAGAAGTCGCCGTTTAGCTGAGGAGTTACAGTCTCGTTCGCTGGGGATGATGGGGCGTGTCAGGGGAGGAGGGCGGGTGGGTTTGACGCAGCGCCGGCCCGTTTCTTTTTTCGGCAAGCAACAAAGTTGCATCACATTGTTGGTATCAGTCTTTTTCCATATGTTGTCGTCGCTTGCCCGCTTTGACAACTAGTGGGGGCCACCTCCCCCGCTCTGCTCCCCGACGGCAGTTTTTTTCTACGGAAAACTGGGGAATTTCCCAAACTGGGTAAGGGTGGAGGGAGTCGCTGCAGAGGAGGAAATTTCGAGAGAGCGGGAAGTCTTATTTTCAATGTATTTTCCTCGTCGGCAGGATGTGCCCTCGCCTAAACATAGGCTTATGCTACACAGAATTTTCTGTACCTGGCGCACCTCAGAGAATCCATAGACTGAAGGCAGCTGAGCAGTTTATCAGGGTTCTGCAAATGTGACGCTTTCAAAAGTTTCCCTCACTCATCCTTTCGTCCTTCTGGGTTCAGAAGAACCTCAAAAAGGGATGCTGGCACACGAGAACATGTACCTAGCTCTTGTGTTATGCTGTCTATCCGTGTCCGCGCGCGATGTGGGCATCTAATTTTGAGCCTTCCTCTTTTTTTGACTCGCAATCAATTAGAGTAGTGAAATCAATTGCAGATATGCTTGGAGAATTCCCAAATTGAGATTGAAGATCTTCGATCGAGGCTTGAAAAAGAAGTTAATATGTCCAAATCGTTACATGACGATCTCGACCAGAGTAGAAAAATGGTACGTGAAATGCTCCGTTGCGTTTTGTTCATTCTGAATAATCTTTTTTTAAGTTTTACATGTTGATTCCCCTACCACCTTCACAAATATTCTGTATTTATTTTCACTGTGGTCCTGTTACGAAGCACCTTCTGACCTGGGCAATAAACATCTCATGCAAAACCTGATTTCCTGAAAATATACGTCGTCATAGGTTGGAAGCAAACTCAGCCGGACTGCGCACGATTTTGCTTGGCGTGAAACTCTCTCTTGGAATCTAAAACGTGTTTGTTTTCTTTCGGAATCATCATCAGTATGAACTCTGTGAGGCTGCAGTTTGAACAACGAACTAGGGGAGGGTCGCCAAATGATTACTGGTGGGGGTCGGATTACGTGAAATGATTACATTTAGTCTTAGTTTGCCACCCTCCCCACTAAGGTAAAGAGGTTAAAGCAAACAGGAATGAAAGGTACAGAGGGTAGTGTAAGCCCTCAATAAGGGGTGAACACAAGCTGTACACTTACCTCCGTGAGTCCGGTTCTTGCCCTGGCAGGAGTAGAATGGGTACAGGGCTGGTGTTGGCCCACAAAGGGGTTGAAGACAAGCTGTACACTTATCACG